GAAATTTATGACTTAATAAGCTAATAATAAAAGGAGACAGAAAACAACACTTATGCTCCAGAATAAAAAGGAAAGGGAAAACAAGACTAATGCCCAAAAATAAGGAAAGAGAACAAACATTACATCATGATAGAACAATTTTCTGTGAAGAATTTTATCTATTAACTAGAATTATAGAACAACTGGTGAAAGATCCCTTGATGTGCTGAACACCAAATCACCAGTCTAGGGGAGAATTTTCTAGGGGTATATATTACATTAATGGAAACTAAAATGCAGGCTGTGACAATTTTCTGTGACTTACTCAATGATGCTCAAATGCATGTTATCAGGGAAAGAACTTTTACAGTCAACATGAAGTGTTTAAATTCAATTGAACACATAATGTTAACCTGGTGAGTTCGCCCAGTTTCTAATCTCCACTCAACCAGTGCAGAAGCACCATCAGCTAGTATTTCAATCACTTTGTACCTGATACAAGGTTCAACCAACTTAAAACACATTATCAAATTATTAGTTGATTATCACATTATGTGGACTTTAAATCACCTACTAGCAGCATGACGAACCCGTCCATGGCTCCTCAATCCAGGTAGAGCAATCATGCGAATCCGATTATTCAAATCCCGACCAATTGGAACATCTACACGTCCAGCAAGTGGTGAGGGTACTCCACAAGTAAGGCTGATGTATACTCTTTGGATAGTATGTAGCTTGAACTGTTCTGACAGATGAGCATGAGAATGTTCATCCTGCCATCAGTATGCAAAAACTAAGCCAATGAAAGAATGCATTGTCCTACTGTTCAGTGCAGCTATTAAACACAAAACAAATAACCATTTCTTGAGTTAGTTACTGCTATCACAGCCCATGAAAAGGACAGAAAATAACCTTTGCAACAACAAGCAATCCACTGGTGCCTTTGTCCAATCTATGTACAATCCCAGGGCGAATGGATGCCTGAGATGAACTCGAATAGAAACCTTCATCATCTTCATCATCAGAAATATGCTCTGTATCTGAAAGAAACTCCTCATCTGTTGATGAAACTGTTGGTAGACTACAATGGTGAAGAAGGCCATTCACAAGAGTGCCAGAAGCATTTCCTGGTGCTGGATGAACAACCTTGTCATAGAGTAGTTCCGTTTGCAGTATCAGAAATTGAATCCAAATTGCAATTGATGAATATCATTCGGAGTGTATTAGCTTAAATCATGAAAAATACAGATGGAGGTATAGAATTACAGCGAGTCTACATATTTGATCCCAAAATTCATCATATAAATCTAACTGTACCGATGTAGGACGTGCAAATAATGGCAGTGAAATCATTTACTATAAGACCTAAGTCTTAGTTTTCTTTGTTTCCATTTGCATGCTTTCGATGATTCAAATAAACTATTATTTTGTTGGAGGCACCAATGATAAGCAGAATCATGAACAACCAGAAGATAACATTAACAATTTCTTGAACTACGCACAGGTAAACTAATGAAGCTATTAACCTCAGTATTTGTAAAGAAAATTTTGTTAAAAAGAAGAATCAGATCTAGCAATTCCTCTCTCTAAATGACATGAACATCAACAGAAAAACTACAATAAGAGAAAAAAATCAACAGTATCTGCAACGATAGAAGGCAAGCTAATGGCGCTATTTTAACTTCAGCATTTGAAAATATGTAAAAAAAGATCTATTAATTTCTCACCATAAGAAGAACAACAGAAGAAATGCCTTAGGGAAAAAAGCTAAACTAGCTTCAGGTTCAGGAGGTTACCATGTGTATAGGTTTATTAACAACAAGAACATGCTCGTCTTCGTAAACTATATCCAACGGTATATCTTCAGGTTCAGCCTTCAATGGCTGCAAATCCGAAATCACGCAGTTAACCTTATCTCCAGGCCTCAAATTGTGCGAAGCCTGCGCAAAAGTCACCATAAAAACCAAAATATCAAACGAATTAAGTTTCAATTAAGCCAACGCACTTACTTTATCGACGACGCGGCCGTTCACGGCGACGAGGCCTGACTTTATACTCGACTGCACTCGAGCTCTACTGATACCTTGAATCCGAGAAGAGATCCAAGAATCGAGCCTGAGCTTGCCTTTCTTGATATCATCGACGGTGTCCTCTAGCTTTACGCCTGCATAGCTCGTTCTGATCAGTTCTTGATTTTGTTTGGATTCTGATTCTCCAGTGGAACTAGAACTGGCTCTGAGGAGTTTGGAAAACGTTGAGGGAAACGAACTAGGGTTTCGAGGAAAGAGGAGGAAGGATGAGGAAGATTGGAACGCTCTCGTGGAAGGAACTGAGAGAGAAGGCGTAGAGGAGAGGAAGAGCATTCTCTGCCTTAACGGCGCTTTCTAATTCTGATTCAGAATACAGCCACAGTTTGCGTTATTTATATGAGGTAACAACAAAGTCAAAATTCAAAACCAGCGGTAAATCAGTAACGTAAATTTTTTGGTGCAATTCTTTACCAAGAAAGAAAAATTTGGTGCAAAGGCTTGTGAGAGACTCAAATACCATTTTTACCCTTGGAATCCCAAACTGCACCGGAACCTGCATCTTTCTTAACCGGCGATGAAAACGAGATGCTAAAATCAAGTGTTTTTTTCTTGCTACAGTCGGATCGGGACCGCAGATTGGGATGTATGATCGAAGAACCAGAGGGAAAGAGGATTTTGGGGCTGGAGAAGGCAGTTTTGGCTTCGCGATCTCCTAAAACAATATTGCCAACGGCTTTCGTGTTGGCCAGGGAGGGTAAAAACATGGTAGAAGAAGTTTCCTTTTGACGGTGAAACCGGTTTCTAAATGAAAAACAGAGATTTTTTTTTTTTTTTTACTGTGAGATTTCATTATTCTGGTAGATTTAAAAAAAAAAAAATTGAGAATCTTTCGTTAAGAAAATATCAAAATGTTGCTTTTGTAGTGCATTTTCTGCTAGTTGCAAAACAATTAATCATTAATAAGTAAATCCCAATATTAAAAACCCTTCTTTTATCTATCAAAAGATTAAGAATATCTTAATTTAAAAAATTTGCATGGTAGAGAAACTCCAGTTAAAGTAATTAGTTGCTCCTCACATTGCACTTTTTTATTGAACTTAAATTCGAATCTTTATCATTTTTCCATCCCCATAATGTAACCCTTTAAAAAAAACTGTGAGGTAAAAAAAGAAAGAATTACGTTACTTTAATTTTTTTTTTAATTTCTTTAATTATATAAATGAGGAAGGGAAAGGAAAAGAAAGGATCCCTTCGTTCATTTTCACGAAAGGGTCCTTTCATCCGTTTTTTTTTAGGTTAAATGCTTTATTTGGTCTCTTAATTTTAAGAAATGAACATTTTTGGTCCCTCAACAATTTTTTGCACTTTTTTGATCCCTCAACTATACAAAATGCACTCCGTTAGTCATTCTGTTAATTTGGGCCGTTAACCTTGCTTAGGTGGCTTTTTTTATTTTTTATTTTTATGATATGGAGAGCAAAACTTAAAAAAGTGATGACATGTGCCATGTCACATACTACTTGGCAAAATCGTGCCAAATACATCCAAATGAGTCCCACATCACCATCTTTGCCCATCGGTTACTGTTTTTCTTCCTTCCATGTTCGACAGAACCCAGATCTAGGTTCGATATAACCAGCAAACAGGTTCCATCAAACCCAGCTCGATTCATTGAACTGAATTGCCCAAAAATTCCTCACAACAACCTGCAATTGCCCAAAAATTCCTCAAAAACAACAACCTGCAATTTGAATAATCTGGCAAACAATCATATAACAAAAACAAAAAACCAGTTGCCCAAAAATAACTAACAACAACCTGCAATTTGGATGATCTCGCAAACAATCATATAAACAAAAAAAAAAAAGAAAGTGGAGCTGGGTTCTGGATTCCGTCGAACCTAGCTACTGGGTTCCATCGAACCCATTTGCTGGGTTTCAGCGAACCCAGCGACTGGGTTCGACAGAACCCAATGCTGGGTTCTAGCGAACCCAACGACTGGGTTCGACGGAACCCAGCACTGGGTTCGACGGAACCCAGCACTGGGTTCGACGGAACCCAGCACTGGGTTCCGTCGAACCTAGATCTGCTGGGTTCAATGGCCTGCGAGGAAGAAGAGGAAGAAAAAGAGAAAGGAAGAAGACGAAAGTTTTTTATTTTTTATTTTTAAATATAAATAATGTGAGTTGGCATGAAAAAAAAATCCACATCATGAAAAAAAAATCCACATCATGAAAAAAATAAATCCACATCATGAAAAAAATAAATCCACATCAACACGTTTTTAATTTGTTTTTGCCACGTCATTAAAAAAATAATAAAAAATACCACATAAGCGAGTTAACGATCGAAATTAACAGAAGGACTAACGGAGTGCATTTCTTAGAGTTAAGGGATCTAAAAAGTGCAAAAAATTGTTGAGGGATCAAAAATATGCAACTCACTAAAGTTGAGGGACCAAATTTAGCATTTAACCTTTCTTTTAATCAAACATAAAATAAATAAATACTAATTAAGATAGATTTTCGGCTAAAATAGTTGAGATATCAATTGCATCTACAGCTTATTCATATGAGAAATTGGTGTGGCATAGCAACCACATCTCATCTATTTATCATTACAATTTACAGCACTGATAAAAAGTGCAATACGTTACTTTATAGAGAGTACTTCTGTTCTGTACATGGTATAGACCTTCAGACACCGTATAAACCTCAGTCGATGACAGTGACAGGGTAAAACTTTATTCATGTATCCAGATTTGAGAACTTATTAATATTAACATGACATACATAAACGCAAACCCTAGAGCCTAATTGTGTTTGGATGGTATTAGGAGACACTTATCTCTGTTTCGCCTCATAATCTTGTGTACCCTTCTTCATCATGGCTACAAATTCATCGTAATTTATTCTCCCATCCTACGTAGTCGAATCATAATAGAATCAAGCCATTGAAGACATCACTTTTAGAAGAACAATCAGGGTGGAATAGAAGATAATTTACCTTGTTAGTATCAACGTCATCCAAGATTTCGTCTATTGTTGCGTCATCCCCCATTCCATACTGGTTCAGTGCCTGGCTTAATTCCTCTCTCGAGATAAACCTGCAAGAATAACGCTGACTAATACTTGACAATCGAAGTTCAAGACTTCCATTAACTAAATTAAGGTCTGATGCTAAACAAGAAACTTGGGTATCATGATAAAATTGATCATTCCTACCAAAACAGTCATTACAGAATGCATTGAAGAGGATAATGACAGATAAAAATATAGCAGTATACTAACCCACTGCCATCCGTGTCAAAGTATTGGAATGCCGCATAAAGGTTTTCTTCCTTCTCAAGCCTATGCCGATGCATCGTAGCAGTAATAAACTCAATGTAATCAATTGTTCCATTCTTGTCAACATCAGCCTGATAGACAAAAGGTAAATACTTTTCAATACTGACGTGTATTGCAATTCTTATTCACAGGAGAATGACAGAGTTGAATAATCCTTACAGCATCCATGAGTTGCTTTGCTTCTGCATCGGAAAGCCTAGATCCAAGTCTGGCCAAGCCGGTTTTGAGTTCTTCAAATGTGATTGTTCCACTTCTATCAGTGTCCATGTTGTTGAACATCTCTTTCAAGCCCACGATTTCATCTTCTGAAAGGTTTTTTGCAATCACCTTCCAGCCGACAAACAAACAGTTTTAGGAGAGCAGCAAGTGTTGGCCATAGAAAGAAAAGAATAAACAAAATACACTTTCAGACTCTTCCAGTACAAGCCATTTAGGGGATAGTCTTAGACAAAAAACAAGTACCATAATTGTTTATCATTCAAGTTCTATGTTACCAAAAAATGTTTAGAGGTATTAGGTCGGAAACACACCTTCAAGGCAAGTTTCTTCATCTTGTTCATTGCTCTAAATTGCTTCAGCCTGTTTAGAACAGCACTATCAATAGGTCTATCAGACGCTTCACCATCCACCTTCAACCATGGATGCTCTGGTTCAAATAAAAATAATGGAAACAACATTCATGATCCACTCATTTTCTAAATATTTACAGTTTTTTTGCATTAACAAGAAACTAGAAATTTATTTTCACAGAACAAAACTTAAAATGTGACAGTAATACCGTAATGCTTAAAAAGAAAAAACCTTAAGCAGTTGATGATCACATTTACCAACTCACCGAGGGCTTGGGCAGCTGTAATTCGCTTTTTCGGTTCCTTTATTAACATCTTTCTGATAAGGTCTTTTGCACCCTCTGTTATGGAAGGCCATGGCGGGCTTACTAAGTCAAGTTTACCTTTTAAGACTGCTTGAAATACATCTCCATCTGTCTCTGCAACAAAGTTAGTTCATTGGCCTCTAAAGTCAGTATCCGATATGCCTTTCTCTTGAGAAAAAAAAAAACCGAAGGAACGGTGAAAACTGAATTGTACAGGTTGCTGTAGACAAAAATACTTTGCTATTATCTTCCGTGCAAAATGCCAGACCACTTGTGATTGCAACAATTGTAGAAGAACAATATGATGAATGAACAGTTTAATTAATTAGTAGTTTCTCTTTTTAATTTTATCAATGCACATCAATCTTAAGCTGAAACAGAAACAACAAATCTAAAATACCTGCCCAAAACGGAGGTGTTCCACTTAGAAGGATGTATAAAATGATTCCAGCACTCCATACATCCATCTCCTTTCCATAGTTCCTGTTCAAGACTTCAGGGGCAACATAATATGAACTTCCAACAATTTCTTTATACACTTTACCTGAACAGTTACATCAAATTCGTACAATTATTATTAAGCAACAATGAGGTTCATGATTAGTTGTAAAATCCCACACGTAAACAGCAGAAAATCAACTTTCTACATTGCTTGTCTTTTGGTTCTCTTTCTATTTGGAGTTTTCCTAGTTAAAGTTTTCACACTTCAATAGTAATGAATACATAGGGATTTTTTACGCACGGTCATGAATCACGGAACCCACCATGTCTTTCTTTTCTTATGCTCTTCATCTATTTTATCATTTTTTTTTCCCTATCAAATATAGTGTCATTAAGTCAATTGACCTGTTTCTTTCTCCATTGACTTGGTCCCGTTGACCCATCATGGGCCCCGTGAAAATATGAATAACGTACTAATTACATCAGCTCCTACTCAAATTTCAATTCTTACCTACAACTTCATCATTTTCCTCTTTAAACAGAAAATTCAATGCTGATAATCAACCAAATTACATCAACCATGTAAAACAGAGCAATATTATGATTCTTTTTAATGGAGATTTTCAATTAATATTAATTAACATAGAAATTTCCAATGCAGAGAAATTGTAATGGGAAGCTATTAGAAGCTAAAATCAAAATAAAAAAGTGCAGAATAGCAACTAACCTCCTTCAATGAAGATAGAAAGTCCAAAATCCGTAGCTTTAAGAGGAGATTTCTCATCCTTGCTAACCATCAAGAAATTCTCGGGTTTCAAGTCCCTGTGCATAACTCCCATGAAATGACAAACATGAACCACGTTCATAACCTGCCTAAAAATGGTCGCTGCTTCCCGCTCCGAATAACTTCCTTTCGATATAATCCGATCAAACAGCTCGCCGCCGGCGCACAGCTCCATCACCAAATGCAGAGCCTCCTTATCCTCATACGCACCCTTAAACTCCACGATATTGGGCTGCCCTGTAAGATACTGCAGTACCTTAATTTCTCTCCTGACATCTTCTTTGTCCTTCTGGGTCAACAGCTTCCTTCGGGGAATAGACTTGCAGGCGTACTTCGTCCCCGTTGCCTTCTCCGTACAAAGGTAAGTGATCCCAAACTGACCCTTCCCCAATTCCTTCTCAATAGTATACAGGGTCCTGACATCAACATAAGCTTTTCGTAAAACGGGTCCAGTCTCGGTAGACGACGAAGCTGTATTAGACGAAGGAAACCTGTCCCACGACGGCTGCGGAAGTCGTGGGTCGCTGTACTGTTGTCCTGTATTGTCGGGTCGCGGGTCTACAGGAAAGGTTCGATCGACGATTGGGATTTCATGGGAACCGGATTTTCTCAATTTTGAGATGCAGTCTCCCATGGTTTCCTGCTTCTGCTTTTTTCAGGTAGGTTGGAGAAGAATGTTTGGGTGATATGAAATAAGCAAGTAGTAGAGTTTTTATTTTCGAGATGGCAGTGTGTATAAGGAAATAATTGTGCAGCTTTATTTTATTATTTGGTGCTTTGCCTTTGCTTATTGTTTGGTGAGGGGAATCATTCCTCTGCTTTTTAGCCCGAGGAAGACAGGAAGTTTTGCACTGTTGGTATGGACTGCAAATTCCAAATGGGATAAAGAAAGAAGGACGGACTTTTCATTGCTTTAATTGTTATGTTACGCGTGGTATATACTCCCATGTAAGCATGACAGCATGTGACTATTTTGGGTTCTTTTTATTTTTTTATATGAATTAAGAAGAAAAAGAAAAAGGAAAACACTACTACTTTATTAAGCATCCATATGGACCATATCTTTCCTGAATAGCAGGGCATATCAATAAGCCAACAAGTTTTTTTGGTAAAAAAATAAAACAAAATAAAAAGAACCGACTGGAATATCAAAGATCCACAGATTTTCCTACGAACCAATGTCCAAACCACCTAAATCCAAGTGCTCGGCCCATTGATGAGCCCTCTCAAAAGATGAGAACTTGTTAGGGTCAACCACACCTAAAAAAATTTATTTCCTTCAATGCGCCAATTTAAATCCATAGGCCTCAGCTGCGTCATTATAGGGTCCATATAGATAAGCCTTGGGCTCAAAGTGGGCCTCGGAAACCTCCTTCTCAGTTCTCAGACGAAACAAGGGTAAGACAGGAGCAAAAGTTTAGAAATAAAGTTAAAATATTAATTGTGTCCCTCAAGTTTTAAATTTATATAAAGATTAAGAAGCAAATTTGCAAGTACTCAGTAATGTAAGCAAATTCGTCGAAATCGAACCCAGAAGCTGAGAGTTTGCAAGAGACAAATCGATGACTCGAAACTACCCATGTGTTGTTCCCATCGTTGCACAGTTCAGCCCATTCAACAAATAGGGGGTCTCATCCAGAAATTCTATCCTTCTAGCACAAAAAAAAAAGATCCCTAAGAACAGAGTAATTGAAAGAAAGCAAAAGAAACACCATCAAAATTCAACCCAAAATATCCAACCACAAAAACCCAAGAACACAAACAAGGATTCCCCACCATAAATGGAGATTAAAGCTTAAAACTCTAACGATTCCTCGAATTAATCCTACATTATTTCTGCTATGAAAAGCTAGAAAGAGAGAGTAATGAATAAGAGGGAAACAGAGACCGTGTGATGGAACGAAAGGGAAGGCGACAAAGATGGGGAATATTGGAGAAATCCAGAGCTGGCTCCTTGCTTCTAACTAAAGTCGAATGAGCAGCAAGTCCTTTGATCCACCTGTTGGAAATTAAATCCTATTATTTAACCAATATCTTTATAATTTATGAAGTTTAAATTATGTATTTGTTTTAGGTTGTTATAATTTAAATTACATTAGATAAGATTGGTTAGTTATCTTTTTAGATAATGTTATCTTGTAAAGCTTATTTAAAGGTTAGTTTATTTTTAGTTCAATGAGAGATTTGGATTTTCATTCCATCTTCTTCTTCTCAGGAATCTTTGATTTTATTAACATTTGGTATCAGGGCCTATTCTCCGCATATTCCATGGCTTCCGAAAATTATGTCTAGCCTTCAATCCCTCGTTTTGATGGTCATCACTACGACCATTGGAATATGCTGATGGAGAATTTTCTTTGGTCCAAAGAGTATTGGACAGTTGTTGAAGCTGGAGTTCCAGAACTAGCGGCAGGGCTAGATGCTGCACAAAGGGCAAAAATTGAGAACGAAAAGTTGAAGGATCTCAAGGCTAAGAACTATTTGTTCCAAGCCATAGATTGGGCTATCTTGGAAACATTCCTTAATAAGTCTACTTCCTTCTAAGACTATTTGGGATTCCATGAAGAAGAAGTACCAGGGGAATGAAAGAGCGAAGCGGCAGCAACGCCAAGCTTTGTGGGCAGAATTCAAAGTTCTATAGATGTAGATTGGTGAATCTGTAGATGATTATTTTGCAAGGACGATGGCAATTGCAAACAAGATGAGGATCCATGGTGAAAATCTAGAGGATGTTGCATAGTTGAGTCGATCTATGACAACCTAATTCAATTATGTTATCTATTCAATTGAGAAGTCAAATGATATTGAGACACTTTCCTTTAATGAGTTGTAGAACTCGTTGTTAATTCCTGAGCGGAAGATAAACTGCCAAGACAAGCAAGAGCAAGCAGTGCAGATTTCGCAGACGTAAGCCTTGCAGACCACAATTAATTCAAAGGCTGTAGGTCAAGGAAAAGAAATTGGAAAGACAAATCAAGATCTGGTAGACTGAGATCTGACAGACTGGGGGAAAGTTCAACCACTGAAAATCAGAAGAGGTGGCAGAACAGAAGTTATCAAGCTACAGATAACATATCCAAATCTACAGGAAAAGCAAATGTTGAATGTTTCAGATGTCATAAGTATGGCCATTATCATTCCTAATGCCATGCTAATCTAAATAGAGAAGAAAGTTCTAACTTTGCATAACACAATGAGAGGAATGACGATGCCTCTCTATTCATGGTTTGTCATCCTCAAGAAGCCAGCAAGAAGAATTTGTGGTATCTAGATATTGGCTATAGCAACCACATGTGTGGAGACAAATCTGTGTTTTCATATCTGGATGAGTATTATCAAGACAAGGTGAAATTTGGTGATAATTCCACTATTGCAGTCAAGGAAAGGGAAAAGGTAACCATTCGTGCCAAAGACAATTTAATTCAGACTATTGCTAATGTTCTGTATGTACCAGATTTGAAGTCAAATCTATTTAGTCTAGGTAGCTTCAGAAGAAAGGATATGAAATCCTAATTAAAGATGGAGTTTGCCAAGTTTGTGATTCAAAGCTTGGCTTGATTGCAAAGGTCAAGATGATGGGAAATAGGTTGTTTCCATTATACTTGCAGACCATAAATCTATCATGTTTATCTACCAGATTGAAGGACATAGCTTGGTTATGGCATTGCAGATATGGACATTTTTATTTCGTGGGTTGAAAGCCTTGCAACAAAAAAAGATGGTAAATGGTCTTCCTTATTTTGATTCTCTTTCAAAATTTTGTAAAATCTACGTGATCAGTAAATAGCACCGTGACAGCTTTCCTAAAGATAGATCTTGGAGAGCAAAGTGGGTGCTAGATCCAGTTCATTCTGATCTGTGTGAACCCATAAATCCAACATCCAATGGAGGTAAACAATACTTTATTACCTTTATTGATGATTACAGTTGCAAAACATGGGTGTATTTTTTGCAGACCAAGTCAGAAACCTTAGCAGCCTTTAAATTTTTCAAAGTCTTGGCTGAGAATAAGGCTAGTAGATCTGTAAAAGTTCTACATATAGATCGTGGTGGTGAGTTTAACTTGAAGGAATTTGCAGATTTTTGTGAGTCCAATGGTATTAAAAGGCAACTCACAGTAGCTTATACACCTCAGCAGAATGGTGTATGTGAGGAGGAATCGCACAATCATGAATATGGTACAAAGTCTGATGTTAAAGAGTGACTTGCCTAAGGAGTTTTGGCCAGAAGCTGTTAATTGGAGTGTTCATATCTTGAACAGAAGTCCCACATCTCCACTTCCAAATATGACGCCAAAAGAGGCTTAAAGTGGACGCAGACTTGCTGTTGACTATTTCAGAATTTTTGGGTGCATAGCGTATGCACATGTGCCAGATCAGAAAAGGAGTAAGCTTGATGACAAAGGGGAAAAGTGTATTTTCCTTAGCATTAGTGATCAATCCAAAGCTTATAGATTATACAATCCTATAACCAAAAATTTCATCATTAGTCGTGATGTAGTGTTTGATAAAGCAAGCACTTGGTCTTGGACAGAAAAATATGGGTGATAAATTCCTATAGATTTTGAGAATGGTGACGATCTAACTATGTAGAACTCAAAAATTTAGATACAGCAGACTAGAGGTTTAACTTCAATAGATCTCGAGGTTTCAAGATAGACAGCTAAAGAAAGTTTGCTTGCAGCATCAAAATGTAGTACTGGAGGAAGTTTACCAACATCACTAGAACTAGAATCTGGATCTAGTTCTAGACCTCAACGCAAAAAGAGAAGACTAACATGGTTGGAGGATTATGAGGTAACAAATCTACCTCAAGATGATGTTCCAATCAATCATTTTGCTCTATTTGCATATTGTGATCCATTGACATATGAAGAAGCCGTTAAAGAAGAAAAGTGGCAAAAAGCCATGACAGAAGAAATTGGTTCTATTGAAAGGAACCAGACTTGGAAGTTGACAGATCTTCCAGAAGGGCACAGGACAATTGGTGTTAAGTGGATTTACAAGACAAAGCTCAAAGAGAATGGGGAGGTTGACAAATTCAAAGCTCGCTTGATGGCAAAGGGTCACAAGCAAGAGTTCGGCATTGATTATCAAGAAGTTTTTGCTCCAATTGCAAGGATGGACACCATCAAATTGGTGATTGCTTTGGCAGCACAGAACTCATGGCCGATCTACCAGCTTGATGTGAATCGGCCTTTTTGCATGGAAATCTACAAGAACATGTAATTATTGATCAACCTCCTGGTTATGTGAAATCTGGTTGTGAGCATAAAGTTTACAGATTGAAGAAAGCATTATATGGACTAAAACAGGCACCTAGAGCTTGGCATAGTCGAATTGATGCTTATTTCTTGGAGGAAGATTTTCAAAAGTGCCCTTTTGAGCATACACTTTACATCAAATTTGGAGATGGAGGTAAATTGATTATAGTATGCTTATATGTTGATGATTTAATTTATACTGGGAATGATTTTGGCATGTTGGAAAAGTTTAAGCAAACCATGAAGCTTGAATTTGATATGACAAATTTGGGTTTGTTGCATTATTTTTTTGCTCTGGAAGTAGTACAGTCAAATTCTAGAATTTTTGTTTGTCAGAAAAAATATGTGCAAGAAGTTTTAGATAGATTTCAGATGAAGAACTGCAATTCTGTCACTACACCAGTTGACAAAGGGTAAAGCTCATGAAAGATCCATGAGGCAGATTTGTGGACAACAAACTGTATAAGCAGATTGTTGAAAGTCTGATGTATCTAACAGCAACAAGACTAGACATAATGCATGGTGTAAGTCTAATTAGCAGATATATGGAGCATCCAAAGGAGTTACACTTGCAGACTGCTAAAAGAATTCTCAAATATTTACGTGACTATAGATTTTGGACTATTTTACAAAAAGGGTGACCAGACAGATCTCACAGGTTTTATAGATAGTGATTATGCTAGAGATCTGGATGACAGAAAAAGCATTTCTAGGTATGTTTTTATGTTGGGATCTGGTGCAGTTTCATGGTCTTCAAAGAAGCAACCCATTGTGACTTTGTCCACAACAAAAGCAGAGTATGTGGCAGCGACTTCTTGTGCTTGTCAAAATATTTGGTTGAGAAGAGTTTTGGAAGAACTTGATCTGAATCAACATGAAGCCACTTCAATTTATTGTGATAACAGTTCAACTATCAAGCTTTCTAAAAATCCAGTTCTGCTTGGGAGAAGCAAGCATATACATGTACGGTATCATTTCTTGCGTAACTTGGTAGAAGATGGAACAATTGAGTTGACTTATTGCAAAATAGAAGATCAAGTGGCTGATATATTCACAAAACCCCTCAAAGTAGCAGCTTTTTTAAAACTGAGAGAGTTACTTGGTGTTTGCAACATGCAGAATTCAGTTTGAGGGAGGGTCTGTAGATTCCAGATTGCAAACATGGTGTCTTCCAAATTTATTTAAATTGAAGTCTGAAAACTTTTAGTTTAAGGGAGGGATTGTTGGAAATTAGATCCTATTATTTAGCCATGATCTCTTTAATTTAGGAAGTTTAAGTTATTTATTTGTTTTAAGTTGTTATAATTTAAATTACATTAGATAAGATTGGTTAGTTATCTTTTTAGATAATATTATCTTGTAAAGCCTATTTAAAGGCTAGTTTATTTTCAGTTCAATTGATCCATTGACACCCAGATCTGGTTCCTTTCTTCTTATCGGCTACACTCAAATGTCAACCTCCCTTTGATAGCCATGTATTTCCAAAATTAGGCTCCAATCTTCCCTATTCAATTGGATTAGATCTGGGAGACTAAGAACCCGAATTGGGTTCTTTTGGAGAAACCCAAATCAAGTTCTAATCATCCAACAAAAAAAGAGAGAAAAAAATAAGAGTAGGATGGAGATGGGTGACAAGGAGGGACGAAGATGGGTGACAGAGGGGGACAAAGAGAGGGAGGAAGATGGAAGAACAAGAACTAGAAGAATTCTTTCATTTTTTTTCTAATTTCTTTCAATTTAATTTATTATGATTAGATTTGCCTTAATAAAATGAAATGAAATTAAGTAAGTTATATGTTTTAATATTGTGAATGAAAAAATAATGTTGGAAGAATTTTCCTTTAATAGAGTTTGATTTGAGTAGATTTCAAATTAGTTAAAATTGAACATGATTATTGAATATTAAGAGATTAATTTAAAAAAAAAATAAAAGTTAATCAATTTTTTCATAAATTAAAAATTACTAATGATAGGTGAAGTTGAACTGAACCTTCGAATTAAATGATTTGTTCTGAAGTATTAAGTGCAAGAATTATGATAGATGGGACATAAACAAAATAAAACTTCAATTAAAGTATATTTTTTGCACTATACAAAATTTTAAAAAATTTCACCTGGTCATTTAATAGACTAGATTTTTAACCTAATATTTAAAATTTTAAATAAAAATTACTTAACGAAAAAAATTGGCTACATTAGCACTTAACTAAACAAAGGATGAAATTGATTTTGAAATTGAAGTTTGAAGGTTAAAACCCTTTTTTGGTCCCTGAACTATTATACGAACCCCCAATTTGGTCCTTAAACTAAAAAAATCCCTGATTTGGTCCCTACTGTTTACCATTTTTACCCCGATTTGGTCCTTCTGTCAAATATCAACCTACGTGTCCCGTTACTTGACGGGGAAAACGATGACATGTAAAAACATTTTGACACCTAGGATGTACAGTGTGACAAAATACTGAGATGGTAAGAAAAAAATCTTTAAAAATTTGTTATTCCTTTTTTTTTTCTTCGTTTGTTTTTCCTTTTTCCCTTTCTTCTTCCTCTCCCTTTCGTTTAACCTTCTGCAAACCCTAACTCCTAATATTAAATTCGAGGATAACACAACAAATCAACAGATTAAACTCAATAGATATTTGACCCAACGGCTGCTGGGTTCGAAATGAAACCCAGAGCCTCAAACCCACCGCCTGTTGGGTTCGATTTCGAACCCAGCACCTGCAAACAAACCCAACACCTACAAAAACCTAGCATTCGAAATTGAAAAATCGAACCCAACACCTACAGTAACCCAGCAACTGCCTTGCCTTGCCTTCTTCATCTTCATCAATCAATTTTTATCACAATCAAACAACAAAATCCAAAAAACAAAAACAGAAATTTTTTTAAAAAAATTTTTGCACCTGGATTCACAAGGAACCCAAGCATGCTGGGTTTGTAGGAACCCAGACGCAAACCCAGCATGCTTGGGTTCCTTGCGAACCCAACACGCTTGGGTTCACTACAAGAAAATCCACATTTAGTGACTAAATTATTAATCATTAAATTTTTATTTTTCGTCACCAATTATTATTAGTGATAAAAAAATTTGACATTGTTAACAAGTTATTTATAATAATTTTATTCGTTACAAAAAAATATTCATCACAAATGCAATTATGATGCAAAATTTAGTCATTAATTATTAAAATTGATATTAAATAAAAAAATATTTATATAATTACAACACAAATATTTTAACAAAAATTTTGTCACAAAAAAATAATATATAAATTTATCACGAAAGTTTAATAAAAAATATTATTATTTCAATACTAATCAATTTTGATTAAAATTAATCAAACCTGATTAAAATTAATTAAGCCCGATTAAAATTAATTAGGCCCAAACTAATCTCAAGTTTTATTGAGTTTCACATGTTTATAGTGCAAAAATTTATTTTTTTAAATATTTATTATCGATGTGGAATATATTTATAGTGCAAAACCTTATTCTCTTATGTGTTTTTTATTGATGTGTGATGCATTGATTAGAGAAAATTGACAATTTTTAGTGACGAAATATATTTTTTAGTGCTAAATAATTTGGTCATCATGAATATGTAAGGTATATGTGACCAATATTAGAATTTTGTCATAATTGTAATGCATTATAATGATGATTTTTATCGATAAAAGCTTATTTTATCTCTATAAACATTTTTCAGTAACGAAATATATTTTTTATGATGAATTTTTTTGTTCATAATTAAATATGTATGCATCTGTAACTAATTTTTTAGATCTGTCACAATTGTGATAAGTTATAATGATGATTTCAAAATTCATCACAAATTTTTGTCACTAAAAATCATTTTTCTTGTAGTGGTTCCTTGTGAACCCAAGCACTGGATTCGCAAGGAACCGAACCCAAGCACTGGATTCGCAAGGAACCGAACCCAAGCGTGCTGGGTTCCACCAAACCCAGGCATGCTGGGTTCGGTGCGAACCTAGACGCGAACCCAGCATGCTTGGGTTCCTTGCGAACCGAGCGCCTGGGTGGGTTCAAAGGAACCCAGGCCTGCTGGGTTCTGAGGGGAAAAAGAAGAGAAAGGGGGAGGAGAAAAAGAAAGA